CAACAGCAACAGCAACAGCAACGTCAACAGCAACAGCAACAGCAACAGCAACAACAACAACAACAACAACAGGGCAGGGGCAGGGGCAGGGGCAGGGGTAGCGGCGGCAACATCGACAGCAACACCAACTGCAGCAGCAGCAATAGCAACACCGACGTCGCGTTGGTGCCTTCTGGCCGAAGCGCCATCAAGTAGCCACCGTCCAACAATTCCACCAGGCGTCCTCCATCGCCACTCTGCTCCTTCACAAGGTTTACGTCAGTTCGGTGCTTCATAGCGTTTCCGCAGCCTCAAGCTGGATGCAGATCGACGCGCCACCGATGTCTTGCACTGCCGGAGTTGTTTCTGCAAAGACCTTCCCCCGCAAGAGCAAGCCTCGGACCTAGCGGAGCACGGTCAATCAAATGGTGTTTATGAATGCTGCCCTTGAATAAAGATGGCAAGGTACCGCATGTCGCTCCGCCAGCCGCTGTGCAGAATGCCTTGGCCAACTGCCACGAGAGCCGGTATATGGACAACCCGACTTACACGATGTGTCCAAACTTCCGCTACGCGAACCAGCTGTGCCGGACATTGCTCTCCGGCAAGATCGCACCTGCGAAAAAGCTGAGCAGGATGCGCAGCAGCCAGCGGAAGCGTCGGACAGAAATCACCTTCGAGGCCGAAGCGTCAATGTGCATGTGCAGTGGCTGAGTGAAGTGTGCTTGGCTGAAGAACTTGTTGACTTGAACATACTCGAACAATACGTTCAGAAGTGGTTGTCGGCCTTTTGTCGTCGGAGTCACGCGACAGCGGTTCCAAGCTGCTGCGCCCAGGGCAGCGACTCCCGTCCTTTTAGGACAGCACGAGCGCCGACAAAACCGAAATTGTCCAAACCTGCCTGGCCATAGGTGACATAGCTGGTGACGAGCTGGCTGCAAGTGAAATCGGCAGGAGCACAGGCCATGCTCGCTGGCTTGCAATGGGAATTACTCACTCTTCCTACGCCTTAAGATCAAGTCTTCTGGCAAAACAAGGAAAGCACAATTGATGGACAATTCGTCTGCATCAGCATCTTTTCTTGAAACATGTTGCCAGCGCAACTGTCGTTTTACAAGTATGCAGGCTGCAGCACTTGCAATCAGAATGAAACGACCCCCCGACGTCAGCCAAGGCTGGGGTCGTAAATGTGAGTGCGGTACACCACGTCCAGCCCAGCGATGCCCAGCAACCCCCGCGCTTGTTCATCCGAGCTTTACAGGGCAATCTTTGTGCCTAGTGATCAACTGCACGAAGCAGCTAAAGCTCACTGCTCTTCACGCTCTCTGCCAACATGACCTTGCGCGGCCATGACTCAGGAAACATTACTTGGACGTTCATGGATACTTACAAGTAGGGTTATAAGTCCCCTAATATGGGTCATAATTATAGTTACCCTACTAATAACCCCATTTATAACTACCCATGAACCTCCAAGTAGACGTTCGTAAGTGATTCAATGCTCGAAGGAAGCCTCGCCTCGTGCAGCGCCATTTGGCGGTGATGTTCCGAAATCGAAGTGGGATCCACGCCGGCTAAGAGGCGCAAACCTAGGCAAAATCAAACTGGTATTGGCTGCAGGTCCACCAAAGCCACAATAAAATTCGGGCAAGTCTCCGCTCAACCGGTCAGATGGAGCTGCGGCCACCAAATCATACCGGAGAAATCGTGCCGTGTTTTTGACACAGAAGGGGCCTCGGAAATCATGTGACACATCGTGTCAAGTGTGTGTGTGTGTGTCTGTGTGCATGTACATATATATATATATATAAGAGAGAGAGAGAGAGAGAGAGAGAGAGAGAGAGAGTCAGTCTGGGTGTGGGTGTGGGTGTGTGTGTGTGTGTGTGTGTGTGTTGGGGGGGCCTGCGTATGCGCCTGTGTACATGTGCGGGTATACGCACATGCAGATAAATGTCATCGTGCCGTGTCGCCGCATCATGGGCTCCCCACCCACCCCATGCTGTGAGCGCGGAATCCTGCATGACAGCGACCGCTTTTGGGGGATCTTGGCATCAGGGCGACATCTCCATGGGTCACTTGGGGTTCAGTTACCCATAGCCGTTACTGTTTCGGGATCCTGATCTTATTGCGACCTCTCAGTAAGTGCCGAAAGCTCCAGGGCGACAATAATGTCTGTTGAACATGTCGAGAGGGGCAATCTGAAGGAAGACACCCGAGCCCACGGACCCCCCACCCCATCCACAATGCAGGGGCGTCGGGGAGAGACGGTATCGCAGCATGGGAGGGAGAGAAGTGCCCACACCCAGACACAGGCAAGTTATCAACCCAAAGGCTTCGCAATGCTGTCGCTGTGCCGAATATACCCAAGCAGATAGATGGACGATGGATGGATGGATGGATGCATGGGAATATAAACACCGTACATACATGCACGGGTTGGACAACAACACAGATAGATCCGAATAAACACCGCAGCAAAGCCCGTCTGACTGCAGATGCTGAGAGCCACACGCTGAACCAAGTTCCAATCATAAACTATCACAGTGCCGGCGGCCAAGAATCCTCAGCTCTCCCAGAATGCGAAATTCCATTCAGTAGACGGCCGCGGCAAGCCAAACTGACACGCCTTGCAGCTCCTTTGCGACGGAGCTGCGGGCAGCATATCCATCTCTAGTGCGGAAAGAAGGAGGCGCATCTGAGCTTCTGGAGCCCGCGCCTGTCTGTTGCGCGGTGGACTGGGCAACAGAACCAACTAATAATAATAATAATAATAATAATAACAAGAATAATAATAAATAATAAGAATAATAATAATAAATAATAATAATAATAATAATAATAGCGGAGCTGCAGAAACTGTTGCGCTCGTCTGCCACGAACCGGTCGTGCTGCATCTCCGGGATAAAACCTATCACTGGCGATGTCCTTGGCTCAAATGTTCCAATATAGCAAGGTGGAACTCTGAAAGGATACAAGTAATGGAGCTAACTTCCTGGAAGGTACTGTGCCAGCACCAAACGCATCTCAGATTCACTGCTTGCAAAGCCACCAGCACCTTCGGGCAGGCAGGAGTTAGCCAAATTTCAGTGCGTGCATGAAGTTATCCACCCAAGGAGGCAAAAACACGGGGGCACTGTGTAGCGGTTCGGCGTGATGATGCTGGGACCACTCCACAGTAACTCCTGTGCGGATTATGTGTCATAGGCTTCCGGCTATCACACCTTGAAACGCTGCGGCGTCCGTTTCGTTCCACTCGACAGCGCAAGAAAGGCATTGGATGGACAAGGAAATCAGGTCACAGCCTCATCGAAGCTTGAAGGGACTAAGGTTGCATTCTGCACAACTCTTTGGGGCTAAGTTCTCAGCATGTACTCGGAGCGACAGCCGCCTGAGGCGAAGGGAGTTTCTCATGCTGCGGCTGAAACCCGATGCTCGCACTAGTTGCAGCAGGCCTTCAAGAGGTCCCAAAGCAGGGCTTGTGGGGCGGCGAAAGGCAAGGACCTGTTGGTGTAACAACGTTTGTTAGCTCTACAACAAGTCACAGCCAATGTATGGCCAAGCTGCTTCTCAAACGGGCCATGCGGTGGTGCTAGTGTGTCCTTGGATGAACAACTACTTCAACGATCTTTCAGAACTGACAGTCTCCGCTCGACGAAGTTTGAATACTCTACCGACCCGGAGAGGGCTAGCAATCTGCAATGAGCTTCTCCGGCCATGGCTAAGCTGACCCTGCGGTTTCGGGCATCTCATCTGAAATTCTTCGCATAATGTAGGGCCCTTATTGATTAGAATAGGGTTTGTGGGGGGTCTTCATTATCATTATAAATTATAGTATAATACATCCCCAATCCCTTTTGGAACTATTAAGGCCCCGGCCTATATTAATGCATTCATGCGGCTTGGCACGGCAGGTCTTGGGCAGCCTTCAGGAGTCGGGACACCTCGCAGCAGCCGGAAGGTAGCACTCGAAAGCTTCTCTCGCGAGTGGTCACTCGGCCGGTGGCATAGCCCTGGTCGAACCAGCCGGGCTGCACGTGGATGTAACCTTGATTGGAAGCATATGGGCTAAGACTAAGAGTTGACATATACTCATGATCTGTGGCAACAGAGCAAAAAGAGCTGTACTTTTTTGAGAAACAAGGCTCCGCAACTGCGGAGTTCACTCGCCAACTGGGTGGTGGATGACTGCGCTGATCTCACACCGGCACAGTTTCGCCTGGCCTGCAAAGGTTCAGTGTCCAAACCGGGCATCATCTGCACAGTTTTCTGCTGCATGAATCTGGACTAAGCCTCTCGGACATCAGATACTCTTGCACGTGTAGACGTCGGGTACTCTTCCATCATGTGAAGAAGCGGCCATGCTTGCTCCCTCCAGAGTTGCGCTGATCAGTGCGAAAGACGTACAACCGCAAGCAAAGATAGAGCAGAAGGCCTCTCCAGCTCCAGGCCACCTTGCAAAACTCCACCGGCAAATGCTGCCAAGGATGCATGCGGCACCAGTTGCCGACTCTTACGAGAACTGTTCGTCTGTTGGTCCCCATCCTTGTGCCTCGCTGGGACTGTGGAGTATGCATCTGTTTGAGATTCTCCTAAAAAGCTGTAAGAAAGTACTTGTTGTGCCTCCTTGCCTTGTCATACCCCTTGACTGATTGCGGAATAGTGCGGGATCGTTTGCTCTTGTCACGGCTGTCGCGTCCCGGCGGACTCGGAAGGACTTCAGCCACCGATTCTCGTTGCATCAGCTTGCATGGCATTTCCATCCTTCAGGCATCCTTGGAACTTTACCTTCGCAAGCCCCACACATCTCGATTCTCAGAAAGCCGGTTGCTGCAGTGTTAGAACCGAGCACTTGACACAGCGCCCTCAACACGGGATGAAGGGATCACGGAAGTTTGGGATGTGAATGGATGCAACACTTTCGCCGACCCATGGAATCTTCACGAAAACTTGCAAACTCAGACTGCAATGACTGCACAGACCCACGGCATTCGAAGGAGTGTCTTCAAAGCCAAGCAGCTTAAGCGACCGTCCTTGTCGGCATCGGCGAGTTCAAAACCTGGTAGATAAAAGACATGTGGCAGCATACCGGGGACATGTAAAAAGAAAGCCACCGACCAGTTGCTGAGTTTTTGCCAGGGTCTGTCACCAGGCCTCGTCTCAATGAGTCCACCCAGCCGTCAAGAAACAACTGCTCCACGAGCAACTCTCGAACGGCCTTGCCACTTCGTGACGTGTCCAAAACTTTTTTGAAGCTATGCTGCGCGACAATTGTTCCAGTTCCAGCGCAAGCTACTGGTTTCTGAATACTCTTGACTGGCATTGACAAGTGGTGCTGCGCACTCTGGAAAAAGGTGTGGTTTGGCTCTAGCCTGGAGGCTACCCTGCAGATAGAATGCCATGGCGTTGCGCCAGGGCCGCGGCAAGGGCACTGTCATTGTCAGCATCTAGCCTGGCAGAAGCAAGAGGAAGGTCGGTGGGACAGGCCGTCAGAAGTACCCGACGTACACAGCTCTGTGGGGCCCCACTTGGAGAACTGCAGGGGAGCAGCGTCGGTTTGTTTGCTGGCCTGCAGCTATCTGCAGCTCTCTGTGCGTCCCTCGTCACGATCATGACGCCTCGACTTCAAACTCCTGAAGATTCAGCTTCCCATCTTTGTCACCGTCCCTGGCAGCAAAAGCCTGAGTGAGACATGGGGGTTTCCGAAACTAGGGGACCCTAATATAGCACCCTAAATAGTAGGATGCCTATTACAAGGACCCCAAAATAAGGTCCCTCCCTATTTTCGGAACTAATATAGCACCCTAAATGGTAGGATCCCTATTATAAGGACCCCCAAAACTAAGGTCCCCCCCTATTTTCGGAAACTCCCATGTGTCTATTTAGGGTACTATATTAGGGTCCCAAATTTTCGGAAACCCCCACATCACTATTATAAGGACCCCAAAAGAAGGCCCCCCCCTATTTTCGGAAGCTCCCACATCACTAAGTAGTAGGATCCTTATAACAAGGATCCTACTATTTAGGGTACTATATTAGGGTCCCCTATTTTCGGAAGCTCCCACATCACTTCATCCACACCGGGGCTGGAGGCAACAAGCGCTTCTGCTGCCAGGTCGCCACTCGGACGAGGGCCTCTAACGCAGCCTTAAGGAGCGAGGCACACTTGGTTTAGGGTTTAGGGTTTAGGGTTTAGGGTTTAGGGTTTAGGGTTTAGGCTTCATGGGTAGTTATAAGTCGGGTTTATAGGTCCCCTAATATGGGTTGCTTTAGGGGGTCCTTTAAAGGGTCCTATAGGGTTTAGGGTTTAGGGGTAGTTATAAGCATGGTTATAAGCCCCCTACTATGGGTTATAATTATAGTTACCCTACTTATAGCCTCATTTATGACTACAAATTAAATGAACCTCCAAGCAAACATGGCACTTTGAACTGAAGCTTTGCCTAAGCTCGCGACGGAAGATGATCTGAAGACATCCAGCACTGCACCGCCTCACTCGCACCGTGTGCTGAAGCTATAAGGCTGTCTCGGAAAAGCCGGGCGTGCCACCGCTTGCCTGACTAGGCAACAAGCGCCGCTCGGTGAGTTTGCTGCTTCATCTTACTAGATGCCACCACGGTGGGCTGCCAAGGCGCATCCATATGCTCCGAGAAATGATCCTGACGATTCTATTCTCGGCAATGTCTCAGCAGCTTAAGTACCAAGCTGCACGAGGCATCTCTGTTGAGTAGCTTCCAAGACCCATCCCTGCCTGGAGTCCAACGTCTCTCAGCTGACGGAAGGAGCCAGTTGCACCCATGTCGAGCACGCCAAGTGATGCCAAAGCCCAGGTCACCAAAGCAGTCAGGCCTGCGATTGACACACTCCGCCTGGCTCGGCTGGGCAAAAGCCATGGGCCATGGGAACTGTGACTTCAGCCCAGATGCTTTCTGAGTGTGCGGAAGCCGAGTGCGCCTGCACCTCCTCAGAGCTCAGACACACACACACACACAACCATAATCGTCCTTTCACCTAACCAGTAACCAGTACTTCATAGCAGCGTTTGGCAAAGTGGCACCCCAGGAGATGCGGCAATCCGCAGCCTCACAGCATGACACATGTGACAGAACAAGCAGTAACAGTAAGCTGTTTCAGCAATCGCGGGAGGGTCGCCGAAGCCATGCTAGGTGAGACGGCCGGCAGCCACTGCAGCGCAAGTCTTTGCCTCCGAAGATCCTGGCACAAGTCCGTGGTTTGGCAGTGCTGTAACTCGTCCATTTCTTTCCTCCACAGCAAACGGTGACCAAGCAAGAGCTGAAGACTGCTCCCGGAAGTCTGAAGCCTCAAACAGAGCAAGTAGACTCCAGACACAATCTGCTTGGAGGTTCATGGGTAGTTATAAATGAGGTTATAAGTAGGGTAGCTATAACTATAACCCATATTAGGGGACTTATAACCATACTTATAAGTACCCATGAACCTCCAAGTGCACTCCTCGAGCTTCTTAGCCGCTAGCTAACTTCTCCGAGTCGCCGGTTGCCTTCCAACCTGTGAAGCACAAAGCCGCCACTACAGCTCCTACGGTTTTTTGAAGCCTACTTGGAGGTTCATGGGTAGTTATAAGTAGGGTTATAAGTCCCCTAATATGGGTTATGACCATAGTTGCCCTACCTCCAAGTAGAGAGGCCTAGCTTCGTGGACCAAGTGCGCTTAAGCTTCTGCTGGCCTTCTTTCGAGTTCAGGGATGCAACTTCCAGCAAACCGCGCACGTTTGCTGAGACCTCGCAACCGATTCAAAGACGTGATGTGGTCGCAACAGGCAGAGTTCGTCTGTGGTTTAGGGCGTCCGCGTTCGCGAAATAGGAGTGGAATGCCTGCCGTGAAGCACCAACAGGTCACCAACAGCTTCTGGCTGGCCGGACTTCATCTGCTGGTGCCATTATTTCAGGCGTGAACTCGTGACATACTGCGGCTGTGCTTATGCAGCTGTTTTGTGTCGTGCCGTCTGCGGCACAAGGAGCCTGAGCTGCCCGCCGTCGCATTCGACATCTCTGCTTCGGGCCGAGCGCACGAAGGACATCAGGCACCGTTGCCGCCGCCTGACATGTTCGCATCTCCGCTTATGTTTACAACTCTGGACTTGGCTTATGACGACGGTAGCCTCCAGACGGCACAGTACAGACAGTTTCTAGTTCATGTGCTCTCATGTGCTCTCCATAGCTCAGGTTCCGCCAAGGCACCGATTCAGGCAGAATTACAGCCATCCTCAGCTGCTTGCTTTAAGCGGCATTAATCGGGGACGGTCTCCGAGGAACGACTGAGAACCCAGCTCTGACCAGTTCAAGATCTCCGAGAATGGTAGCAGCTTGTCATCCGCAAGGATCACTGGGATCGCGCAGAACGACATGATCCTTCACGAGTGCCAATTCATTTTGAAGGGCACTGGCGCCAGCTGAGCCAAGAGCTCGTAGAGCCGCAATGAACATGGACTATGGCCAGCAGGCGCAAGCGCAAATTCACTCTCCCGCATAAGCGCGGCATACCTGAGAAAACAACAACCATTAGCAAGAAGCTTAACTTAGCGAACACCAACCATAAGAAAAAGGATTTTGTTCTAGAGTACTTGATGATGCTGCTGCTGCTGCTACTGAGTTGTGTGGTGGTCTGGTGGTGTGGTGGCGGTGTTGTGATGTGGCGGCGTAGTGGGGGTAACGGCGGCGGCAGTGGTGGTGGCGGTGGCAGTGGCTGCCTGCCTCCGCCTCCACCTTCCGAATTCCTCCTCCTCCTCCTCCAGCTCCTCGTCCTCATCGTCGTTCCTGCTGTTGAAGTCGGTGTCGTTCTTGTGGTTGTCGTTGTGTCGCCGTCGGAAAAATTGTTGTCACGGTCGCTCGTGGTTGGTGTTGTTAAAGCGATGCATCTGAGGAGCTCAGATTTGATCGGGTGACTGACGTCCCAGCGAGCATCGGTTGTGTTCAGAGCACTCTTCCTTGGTGTCGACGGCCATGCTATGCCCGATTACTTCTATCTTCTTGGTCTTGGTCACTCGTCGAAACTTGCTGACACTTGTACACACCACTCCCCGTCCAAGCACTTGCGACTCTTGTGATTCCCCAGAGTTGCCATCAGGTCTCGATACATCAACCACATTGACCACCTTGTTCACCGTCATTTTTTCATTTCTGGAATGCGTGAGCAGCACAGAAGGGGCGCAACAAATGCCCTGCCCGCCCGACACGGCACCGTCACTAAGATAAGCACAATTTCATCCCCATCATGAAGTGCACGTAGCTTTTGCCTCACTGGCCGCGTTTGCGCTCCTCCGACTCTTCCGGCGTTCGACTCGCACACTCGCCCAAGGCAAGCACGGATTCAAGGCAAAAGTGTCAGAAAACACAAGCAAAAGCCAAATGCACCTCCAGAGACACATTCAAATCCTTCATTTCCCCAACGGTGCCCGTCCTTGAAAGGAGACTAGCCGTTTGCGAGGTGAGCAGCTGCATTCTCTCAGCGGCGGTTGCTCGACTGTGACGGGCATCTCAGGCCATGAAATGTCGATGCCACTTCCTCGGCTTCATGGTGCCGGCGAATCCGAATAAATTGAGCCTGGGGCTCGTTACGACAAGGCTCTGTACCCATATGGTCTTCCTTTCAGCTGGCCCACTCCTGCTAAAGTCACCCCATGGTGCGCATGCACCAGCTCTGACAAGGGATGGTAGCACAACCTCGGATGGAATGGAGCCGGAAGCAATTCACTTGCGACAAAGACTCTGCGACGCTGCAGATTTCCATGCATTCCTGCCATGCTCTTGCAAAAGAGCAGCTGGTCGAAAACAATGTGCTGCTTTCCAGCTGTTCCCCAATATGTGGCCCAGCCATTTCTGAGCCCATTCAAGCATCCAGCTCTAAGGCTTCAGCGAAATTCCTATTCTTGATGAGGGCTGCGCCGGACATATGCTTCTAGGCGGGCTTGGCGGCTTTCGCGGCAAGCTCGCGCGTCGCCCAGCGTGCCCCAGCGAGCCTGCAGGCAAAGCCAGAAGCAATGGCATCCAAACACTCGTGCGACGTACATGGCCTGCGTGACGTAGTTCGCAGCACCGGGAACTGGAGCCGAATACCTCGAGGACTTGCAGCAAGCAAACAATCGCGTGATAACGAGACGTGGCCGGACGAAAAGCAAACTCTGAAAGCAGCTTCGTGGCACTGGCCAAAGATAAGCACAGCTGACCTGAAGCTTACGCAAGGAGCGCTCAAGAATCCGTGAAGAATGAGGGGCAACATCGCAAACTGTGTCCGAATGATTCAAGCTTTTGCTCTTCACATCTTCGGACATGTCGCGGGAACCAGAACCCCCTGATGAGTGCTGAATTACACTTCTGCCCAAGTGCATCGATGCCGAGGAAGAACACGGACGCTTGTTCTGGTGATGCGGTGCGCCATGGGTGCAACTGCAGCTCCTCATATAGCTTACCTGTCTCACAGCTCCCCCCCGTCCCCCACAACATCACCAAAAAGCAACAGCCGCAGCAAGCTCGATGCCGGAAGGTTGCTGTACCAGATGCTCAGAAAGCCGTCCCTTTCAAAATGGGGTGGATAAAGGAAGAAGCGAACCTCAACAGGTGCGAAATTGCAGCAGTCTTGCATGTCGATCCATTTCCCTCTCGTGCAAGGTCATGGAAGGCTTGCTGCAAAGTCGCTGGAGATGCTGCAATCGCAGTTGTAATGCAGATCAGCAAAACAATAGCCTCTAACATGACCCGCAGCGAGCACCACACCCTTCGGCGACGTGTTGGAGGAGCTTGAAGGAGCCTGAACGCGATTCCACATCTCATCCTTCCCCGACCACCCTGGCAGGGGAGCATGCGACCTCCGCTTGGCAACCACCAGGGTGCCAGTCCATGGCTGATGACATAATGTGGCCCACGGCAGCAGCTATCAGGATGCGAAAGTCTCCACGCTTGCGCTAAGGCGAAGCAACCCTGTGTTGTCATGCGGCCCGAATGTGCGTTGCCTAGTTGGACAGCCCGCCCGCAAAAGGTGCTGAGAAGGAGTCGGACGCGCGTGTGTGCCGAGACCATGCAAGCAGCGAGCAGCGCCGCACCTCAGCCGACACTCGCCAAAAAATCGCCACAGCATCCGGGCAAGCTGGGATCGCTGAGATACATTGATTGCTCTTTCTGCGCTAGCTACCGGTAGCAACATCCCTGCTTTCAAAGCAATGGTCACTCATGCAGCTAGTGCGATGAAAATGATACCAGCTTCGCCAGAATCAGACGTTGAAACAATGTCATGCCATCCTGTAGTGACTGTAGTGGGCCTCCGCCACGACACTCGGAGCAGTGATGCAGTGTCCAGCAATGGAATCCCGTTTAGGATCTCCATAAACTCAGAAACGCTGTTGAACTCTACATGCTGCTCTTTGTCTCAACCTTGGCATGCTTGACTCCAGTTTGCTCTTCCAGTTCAGTGCCTTGGTCCGAAACGGCTTCTGCCGTGTGCGTTGCAAGCTCTGTGGGAACTGTGTCTTTACCTCCTTTCTCGTCCTTGTCTTCACGCTCTGCTCGCAAATAATGCCCTTCACCAATGTCTGCCTCAAAGCTGTCGAATTGGGATATGAAAAGAACGGCAGTGCAATCCTTGACAAACTCCATGTCGTTGTCAGAACCCATGGTCACGAGTGGCAAGAGCAAGAATACCGTAGTGAAAAGGATATCATTCACGATCCACGACATGAGTAAGCGCATCTTGGGGTAGTGATAGTGTCGACGATATTGTCCGTGACAACTGAAGAAGTATGTCATCCAAAATGGCTTTAGCTCGCCTGAGTGGAACCCTTGGCTCATCACGCGCTGCACAGTGGCAACAACGGAGCCTGCTGCATACCGCAGCAACTCTGGCTCTGTTGTTTCTTCTTCGGAAAAGGACTTCGAGGCTATCCACCGTAGCAGCAAAACATAGAGCAACATCTGAAGCACAAACACGCTTGCACACTTCAGGAACGTGCCGGCCTCAATGTCCGTGTACACACTGACGGGCTCTAGTGGCTCATCTGTCACGCCGTGCCCGTTGTTTTCGTTCTTCACCCGAGCATAGGTCACTATAGTCATCGCAATCGACCGTACAAGGGAATAGAAGAACACTCCGATCATGGCACCAACCGTTGTATATTGGACACAACCATACACCAAGAGGAAGACACAGCTGCCTTCCCAAAGAAGCGCAGTAGTCCGCACAACTTCTTGATAGTATGCTGTGTCCTTGTGCACGCCATCTGACGAGCCGCCACTGAACCAAAATTCGGAACATATCAATGCCGGTACAGCCACTGGAGCAACTGCAGCCATCACCAGACCAATTATGACCTCTGGTTCCTGGACCCACTCCTCGAAAGGGAAGGGAAGGAAATCTTCCATTGCCATAGCAGGTACGGCAGCAGTAGGCTGCCGACCTAAGGCAGGTAAGTTTTCCTTCAGCGATTTCTGCCGGCCGTGACGTGTAGCAGGTGCTGTAACGTTGTTTGTCCTTCTCTTGTCACACTGCACGTTGCTGTTAAAAACTACCGTGCGGATCAATCATTGAGCCGAAACAGTATCGCATCCGAGAACAGCTGATAGGCTGTCTGTCCATCTCGCGTCTGAGAGCAAGCGGCTGCTGTCCGGATTCCATAAATTTCACATGTTTCGCCGTCACCCAGCATCGTTTGTTGCTTGTTTCTTGGTCGCTCCTGATCGCATCTGTCCCAAGTCCGAAGACCGCTCCGATGCAGGCCTTGGCCCAAACATGCTTGCGCTGGTGCAAAGGGCCTCGACAAGGCAGCTAGCCTTGAGCTGCTGTGCCCGCCACCCATTAGTAGGATGTAAGGTGTATCCCGGAAGTACATGATTCAGTGCTCTGGGCTCTTTAGGTACTGCTTTGGAGAAGGCGTGGCAGCAAGAACTTAAGTGTCCTGAGAAGCCGGCGCGGCCTTGCGCTTCGGATCGGGCGGCGGTGGTGGAGTGTATCCTTTCCTGGCAGGCCAGTTCAGCTTCAAAGACACACGAGTGTTCGCCATCTGTTTGTGTTCTTGGGCACAGTCTTCGTGACCCTGGCAAACGCAATCACCATGGGCCACGGGTGGCCGCTCGCTGTTTGTTGCAAGCAACATCCAAACTATGAACGTTTGCGGGAAACCCCCTCAATTTTGTCTAAAACTTCACGAACAACTTGTAGAAACACCGGCTGTTTGGGTCGCATTGTCGGTGCAAATCATTCAGAAAACCGGAGCCGTGAGCTGAACAAGCAGAGCTGTAGCTTGCACCCGACAACGAAGTCCATGTCCTATGTCCGCCAAGCCTGCAGTGCATCCGTCCAAAAGCACACGGACATCTTAGCAGCATTGCGAAATCATCATCTTGCCAACAATGGCTTGACTGTAGCTTGCAGAAAACAACGCAGCCGCACAACCTTTTCTCATCCCACACGCACGTAGTACTGGCCATGCATGCCACTGACCATCGGAGGCTACCATCCTTTCGCTGCAGCGAAAGGATGGTAGCCTCCGATGGTCGGTGGCATGTGCTGCACATTGCCTGAGAATGTCGACATCGTTTGTGTTGGCCTTGCCGTGCCAACTCGCGATTGCTGCACAGCGCATAGTTTGCGGCATCTTGCCGGCAGTGTGAACATCGCCTGCGCACTACTGGAGACAGCAGAAGTCGTCTGAATATAGGTTGGCCGTGTGGTGCCAGGCAACGACTGCATCGGTGGCTTCTGGCTTGACGACGAAGGCATGTAGCTTGCACGCACGTGCTGTACGCTGCTTGAGATCGCAGGGACTGCTTGGGTCTTGCTGGGGCTGACTGTGCCAAGCAACGATTGTTGTTTGATTACAGGCTGGCGGCTTGCGACTTGCAGCATGTAGCTCGCCTGCCTGTACTGCAGAGTCTGGCTTGGGTTGGATGTGCCAGGCAGCGATTGCTGCAGGAGGACTGGCTTGTGGCTTGAGCTGGGTGCCATGTGGCTTTGCTGTGGCCTTGCTGGCACGTAGCTTGCAGGCTGATCCGGCCTGGTTTTGCCAATCCACGATTGCTGGTGGTTGCCTCCGGCCTGGGTGGGGAGACGGATTTCCACATCGGCGAAGGGATCCACGCCACTCATCAGTGATGTCAGCAATGGAGAGTGCTGTAACAAATCTGGTCCTTTGCGCATGGACTCCAGAAACGCATCGCAAGGCGCGCAGCCAGTGAAGATTTTGGAGGAGCCCATGTCCCGTGTCCACCCATCCTTATCCAATGCATTGCACTTCTTGTCATCGGGGGTCTGTTTTCCATGACGCAGGCTCTCCAGGAGGGTTGGGCGAGATGGGCGAGCCACTCTGGATGGTGAAACGGGCTCTGGAAATCCCTCGGGAGGAGTGTCGCTGCGCTCGGAGCGCTTGTAAACAAATGAGGTTGTACTAGTAAAAAATTTCGGGCCCGCAGAATTCAGGTGGGGGATATGGACTTGAACCGCCAATGAGCCGCTGGATTCGAAGCCGCGAAACAGCGGCCAGTTTGCCGAGGACTCGATCTTTGGATCTGCCAGTGGTAGTGTTGCCTGGCCGATCAAACAGTCCTCTACCTCTGAGTTTTCGGGATCCACTTCGTGGATCTCGACCATCAGGAGCTGTTGCTTCCGATCGTACGGTACTGAAACCGTCTTCTGCAGCATGCAATTGTCAAGGTCAGGACGTGCGGGATTCGCCTTCCCGACCGCGAATTCGGTCTTTCTTGCATTTCTTTCTGCGTTACCCTCACCTGGGTAGTACGCTGTGGCGCAATAGAAATGCGGCCCGAAGTTGTCAGACGGCAGTAAATCCAGTGTGCCGTCGATCTTAACCATCATCAAATCCTCTGGAGGGGATCCTTCCCTCGCACGTCGGTCTCCAGTCACCATCGTCTCCTTCTCTGTATCCTCCGGGAAGACGATGCCGAGGGGATTCTCGTGGCTCGGCTTCCGTGGCGTCGGTGAGTACCACTGGACCTTCGGTGCTGGGTACAGCACTGGTGAGTCCAGCAACGGCATGTTGGACGAAAAGCTCCGAGAGTCGTATGTCAGATAACTGACTTTTGTCGGTTCGACCTTGACCAGCCGAAATGACTGTCGTTTGCGAGCATTATGCCTGCACCCTACATCCGACACATGGAATGGCTGCCGCTGCAATCCTCCAGATGTTTCGAAGCACTCGAACGGGAAGCTTGATAAAGCATGAAGCCAGCAATGTGCCCAAAAGCCCACTGCCATTCTCAACCCTTTAGTCGAGGCCCTCCCGATGCACCGAAAGGGTGCTTCAACTCTCAGCCTTCGTCATCAGCTAGGCAAACCAGGTATGTAGCAAAGGCCCCGACCAAGGTTGTCGATCTCATGTACCTGGGCGTTTGTCGAGTCCAATTCCAAACATGCACCGTGCATCTGGGAAAAGGTGTCCATGCGCAAGGCGCGGGGACCGTTTACGAACCCTCCTGCCCCTTTACAAACGCCTTTCTCAACTGAAAAGTAACGGCTCTTGCTATTCCAACACCGTGCCTTCGCCAACATGGCCTCCAAGCTGGTCAAATCCTAAACCCGCAAAGCTCAAAGCTCTTTTTTCGAGCAGGGACTGCAATGCACCACCCTTAAACTTTGCACGCCTACATCCCCCAAATCGGCACCAAATCGGCAACCTCCCTTACAGGATCAAGGACTTAGTACGTAGGTCTTTGCTAGATCTTCCCACTAGGGGTACATCTACCTCCACTGGTAACCTACTTTACTATGTCCTTCGATCGTTTAAGTTACCTTTTCTGCTTTGGTGAGGGCCCGGCTTTACGACTTTCGCGTGCTCGTCACCTTTTCAGGGCTTGGTCCTCGCGCGGCACGCAAGGACAAACACTCATCAAGGAGGGGCCTTTGGCGTGACATGATCCTTGCGCCTGCTCCTATGATGCGGATTTCGAGCATATTCAAAAAATCAACAGAATGTCACTACCTTCATCGTATTCCGCTGGCATACACGTCGCTGGCCGAGAGGCTTGAGGAAGTGATGGCTGACGTGCAACCGCCAGGCATGCAGCACCTGCGCATGAGAATGCTGCATGTACTTCGCTGTAGGGCTCTTGCATTTGCATCATGCTGCATGCTTCCTGTGCGCACGGTCGCCTGCTGGTCAAGAGAAGGTAAGACACTTCATGGTGGCTCATGCGCACAAGCTTAAAATCGCACAAACCGGGCACATGCACGTGCTGCACTGGCAACGGATGTGCACAGGGAAACAAGCTTTACAGGGGGGGGCATAGCTGCATGGGCACTGCACAGAAATTTTGCTGTCCAGCCGTGGCCTGAAGTCTCCTGAAAGAAAAAGACCTTGCCGAATTAGTCCCACTTTGGCGAAGTCAACCAAAACGTGGTCAACTCTAGACTTTGCTTGAAGTTGGGGCATGGCTCGCCCTCACATCTGTGAAAAGCACGCCGTGATAAAACCCCAGCTTTGTACTTGGAGGTTCATGGGTAGTTATAAGTGGGGTTATAAGTAGGGCAACTGTAGTTATAACCTATATTAGGGGACTTATAACCATACNNTACCCATGAACCTCCAAGTAGTGCTCTCCACGCATCCCTTTCAAGGAGGCGCTTCGAAGCATCAGAGGCACAAGGTTGGCTTCCTCGGTGCATCCCATGAGTCCCACATCGCTTTTCCTCGTTCACCTGGACGATTTCGTGATCTGCCAGATATATGAAGGCCCTGCGACGAGACCCAAAAAGCTACTATATAGTACGCACAGGCTCGGCATACTGTAGGGTGAAGAGCTATGGTCAAAGGCAGACTTCTCAGCGTCTCAGTCTTCTGGCTTCTTCCGAAAGCCTCCGAGCAGAGGGGCACAGGAATGCAAACATCGACTATCGCCGCTGAGGTCCTCGCCTCGCGGTTCGGCTTCGCCGTGGAGCAGGCGTGTCCAGATGGGACCTCAGAGGCCGAAGAGCGATGTCTGAAAGGCTGCAGCGACCACCCATCCCGGGGCCAAGGCCGCCTCGAGTGTTCAAAGCCCTCATCACTTCTTCGCTGTAGACATTACGGCCTGGTCCCATCTTGCACCTGCTCCCATGTCAAGAAAGCTTGAGCTGGAGTACCAGACCTGCCGACATCTGCTCTGCCAGCCTCTTGCAAAGAATCTGGGGCTCAGCCTGGTTGCGAGGCAAAAACGCAAGGATTACAAGGGCAAGCTGAAGGAAGCCAAAGAGCGTTGTGGTGCCAGCCATGGTAAGGTATTGCACGGCAGTCGGCTTCGACACAGCGACAGCGGCCCTCCATGCGCTCTTTCCTGACCACCTTCCCAAGCCCACTCTCTTGCCCAGCAACTGGGAGCTAGGATTAGGGGGAC